AAAGGAGATAATAAAATAAAGCCTATATTTTAGTTTTAGGTAATAAACATTTTAAAAGACAGAATCAGAGAATAATATGAAAAGCTTTATTCTTTGGTTGACAACAAAAGCCTCCTTGTTAATAACACAGCTGTCTCTATTCATCTACAGGCACACTATTTGTAACACAGGTGTCATCAAACTGCTACAATAATTTACACATTACACTTGAGTAACCTGATCATTAAAAACCTAATTAATATGAAATTATATCCTTAGTCCAGCAATCACTCTTTTTAACCATTTTGTCATCAGATGAATCCAGGCCAACAAAATTGATGCAGACTAGACAAAACCAATAAATACAAAAGTCGCCCTACTCTAAAATAAACCTCATGTCAAATCAGTTTAAAGTTAATGATGGCCTTCTTTGGAAGGGAGGCAATGCATAACTATTAGCCGTTTCCAAGCTGCATTTCCCAAGCAGTTCTGTGGAAAAGTCAGGTTTTGGCCTCCAGTCTGAAAAACTGAAGATATGCGGAGACTTCTTTTTAGTGGTTTATTCATTTTCTATTACACACTTTTATCAGTAACAAAGCAATTGCATTATGACTCAGTTCCTTACCCTGTTCTGCTACAGCCACTGTTACCATTTCTATGTTCAAATATGTCAGGAGTAATATAGGCACTGCAGAATGGCCCTCTAAAATAAAAAGATGGATGATGGCATACAAGGCATGAGGAACTGACCAGCTACCTTATGAACAGTAGCTGACAGAAGTCGTGTAAATGCAGGGTGGGCCAAGGGGCTGAATGCAAGAAGCTTCTTTACTGAGCTAAATGGAAAAGACTTCTACAAAAATAAGCAATGCTTAATAGCACGAGTTATCCCTTTTAAATAGCTTGGTTTAATTTATTTACTATACTTGCATAGTCCCCCCCATCTCATATTAGTGACTGGTCAGTTAACATCATAAAATGATCAATACAATAACAGTTTCAGTGTTTTCCATGTTAGTTACAGCACGTAAAAAAGAAAGACAATTTTAACCAAAAAACTTTTTTTTTTAAACATCCGAAGGAAACTACTTCTCAGAAGCAGCGTAAAAATAAGCTAGCAAGAGATGGGTCAAAATCACAATATGCTTCCTTCCTTCACATCCTTTTAAAAGTTAAACAAATGAGTGGTATGAATAATGTTATCCACACTAGACAGGAAGAATCTCATTTCAACAACACTGGAGAAGGCTCTGTAATTCCGAAAAGCAATGTTCTTGATATACTATCATCACAAGCCCATCCTGCTATAGCAGGGTTGTTAAAACTGGCGGTCCGCAGACCGGATGCGTCACACGTAGGCCACGCCCAGCCCAGCTCAGCTCTGCAAATGGGAAAAACGTCACGAAATGTCATGTGACGGCAACTTGACGCGTCGGGTTTGACACTCGTGTGCTATAGAAACTCCCCAGTTTATTGCCAATTTTTTATTATCTATGTGACATTAAAAATGGAATCTGTGAAATGTTATATGAATCACACAATAGATGTTTCTATTTCATCTTTACCATTTAGCTACACGATTTAATATTTTCCACCTCTAATTAATTAATTTGCCAATCTATTAAATCTATTTTTCAAGCCTGCATACAGTTTTACTGCTGATTTTCTAATTGTATTTGCCTGGATGTCTATTTCTTTGTTCCATGGATTACAATAGCGTAGATTATTTTTAATTTTCTTTTTAAATTGTTAATGACAACATTAAGAAGAATAAATGCAGAAGAGCCTCAAACCTAGAATACCAACACCACATCACCTAAGATTTATGTTTTACTATCCAAACCAGATACTTTTCTCTTTTTCTTTACTTGCTTACTGCTGTATGTTGTTACTGGTCTTTTACCATAAAGAAATAATTAGAATTTATTACCTAATCTACTCTCTCCTCTCCTGGAAGAGAAACAGGAAGTCTTAGAAATGTCCACAAATCTGGAGAATATGCTTTTTCCCCCCTCTGGAAAGC